CGCAATTCCTCTCTAATGACGCATTCTCGATTAGCTTGAATCTTATAACCATACTTCAAACACCTCTCCCCTCGCCGGTAATAATTAATAGTGAAGTATTAAAGACCTAACAAATATCCGTTCGCCCAAATTTTTAACAACAGATAGCCGAGTTTCCAATATTTCAACTAACAAACTATCCTCAATAAATTGTGCAGGCACGAAGGTTCGACAAACCAACATTTTTTCAATTCGACTTTCCACTTTCCGAAAAATCTTTAACAAACCTTTAACAAACAATGCTCTATATTGATCAAAGATCTCGAATACCAACAAAGATCCTTAACCACTTGCGCAGGCAACTGATTACGGACCAAACCGTATACAATAATTCGTCGCTTTCCTTTTGAACTCGGTATGATATCATTGGATAGAAATTATTGAAGAAGTAATAAGTTTATTGTTTGTTTTGCCTAGATTATACTTAAATATACTTAAACTTGAGGAAATATTGCAATTTTGGGACAAAAAATATTCTCGACATCCGTTCCAGCGCAAGAGATTAGTACCAACAAACCCAAATTTCTTCGATAAACTTAACGAAACCAAATCAGTCTGTCCTCCAACAAACGAAACCAAGCAACCCAGTGAACGAATTTCGATTTAGCGGAACGACAATACCATCTCTATCTCTTTGTCTCTCTCTCTCTCTCTCTCTCTCTCGCTCTCTCTTCGTCGTGCTCCAACGTTGGAACGCGAAAGCTCACCTAAATCCCTTTCTGAATGCGGCGGCAACCCAGTTTATCGGGCCGTAGGCGCCAGGCGCTTCTTTATGCCGGCGTGCGAAGCGTGAATGGCTCCCGTGAACCTGAACCCGACCGACAAACCACCGTCGCCGCCAATGTCAACGGGACAGGCCGCCGTTAACCAATGTCAACACACCGGCGACGTGTGTCACCAACATCGACGAATCGGCACACGGACGAACGTCGTATAGCCGGCTGTACGACGTTCGTGGATTTGTTTAGCTTATACGGTGGTCTCCTCGCTCACCGGCCTCGATGTGCAATACATCCGTGTAATACATACTTACGTACACACACGGCGTGCCGGTCGTACCCCTACCGACAGAGAGGCAAAAGGCTTCTGTTTAATGCACGAGCGGTTGGTTGGGCGCGTGCCAGTTCTTTCTAGGGTCGATCCCATGTACGGGAAAGAGAAAGAGAGAATTTCTGTGTGTGTGTGTGTGTGTGTGTGTGTGTGTGTGAGACAGAGAGAGAGAGAGAAGGGACAGGTGAATTCCGAGTTAGACGGAGCAGAGGAAGCCAGACTCGATGGAGAGAAGCACAGGATACGTAGCTAACGACCAGACCTGTTTTCTTTGACGCGCAATCTGTCACGCTTGATTACGATCGTAAATCCCCGCGCTCTCATTACAAGCGCTACCAACGCGGCTTCCACAGGAACCGCACTTTCGACGTGCACACGCTAGGTACAGACTCTTAGAATTGCGATAGAATTTCCGTTTGAAAACCACGAGCCTTCCCTGCGTGATGAGTCCACCCTGCGCTTTTAACAGATACATCGCTGATGGTTTGAGGAATGTTTTCAAAGGAATGGTCTCGGCATCGGTGAAAATTACGTGGATGTATAGCAAGGTGGAGTTGTCCGAGCCGTTCGATACATTTTAAAGTGCAAATACCGCTGTTTCGAGACAAAATTGATTTTGATCGCCGATTTTATATTGTGCAAATATCCGAGTGGTAGTCAATTTTCCTTAAATGATATCTGTTACTATGTTGATTTATCAACGTCCGCGAAACTGATCAAATTTCGTAGTTGCTGAAGGAATCCAATCGTTGCGGCAAACTTGATCTCTCAAACATTCTGACCGATCCTTAACTTAACAGAAACACGAACCACAATTTCTCCATCTCTTAATCACTTGCGCTGGCAACTGATTGCGGACCATAACGAGTGACCAAACCGTATACAATAATTCGTCGCTTTCCTTTTGAACTCGTCGGTATGATATCACTGGATAGAAATTATTGAAAAGTAATAAATTTATTATTTGTTTTGCCTGGGTTGTACTTATATATTTAAAATTAAGGAAATATTGCAATTTTGAGACAAAAAATTCTCGACGTGCGTAGCATAGGTTAATAAGCTACCTACGCATCACACATTCTTTACCTAAGTAACATTCGAAAATCTACTGCTACACTTTGAACTAGAAAAATCGCAAAACTCTTCAAGGTTGTCAAAACTAACTTAAGTTTCGTTATCCAGAAGATTTCAACGAACTGTTCAATAATCAAACTAACTTAAGTTTCACTATCCAGAAGATTTCAACGAACCCTGAATCTGTCCAACACTCTTGATACTTTATCTACCGGCATACAATTGAAAACATGTCGCTATCACTCTGATTCATCACAGAGGTGAGTAATTTCAAAATATTTGAAGAGTAAAATGTTAAAACCCAAAATCGGTCGTTAAAGCGTTGATAAGCGCAATTTGCCTCTTAATAAACCATCCGCACGTTCGTCAACACCGTGAACGACATCGTACCACGCTTTCCGAAAGCGCATGGGAACGAGTTACGAGCAAACGGACGCTGTGTACGTGTTCCACGTGCTCCCTGTGTACTTACCCGCGAGCACGTATTCAACGCTGGTTAAATAGATGGTGGAAGAATCCGTCGGCTAAGTCGCGGCCAACCGAGAAGGTTTTGTCCCGCGTATACGCTTTCTTTGTCTCTCTCGAAAGTGGCGCGTGCCTACGTTCGCCAGAGCCCGTGAAGAAACGAACGAACCACGCGCGTCTGGGTTTCTGTGGTGGCGTGACCGAGGCACCGTGATTCCATTGAGGAACAATAGGCACACGACACCTGCTGAGGGCGAAGCCTAGACCTAGATTACGACAATAATGCCGCGGTTCTGCCGACCAACCGGATGAAACACGAACAAACGTCCACGCGGGAGAGAGAGAGAGAGAGAGAGAGCGAGGCAGGGCACGATGAAGCAAAAGGGAGTCTGAAGGTGGACGAAGAGGGCAACTCGGTGGCCAGGCAGTAGAAAGAGACGGGAACCGCCTGGCACGAGTCTAGGCACTGGGGCAATGTCACACCTAAGCTATTATTCTCATTCACCGCGGCCAGACTTACGGCAGACTAATAACCTGTCACCAACTGCCGCCACCGTGCTGCGACTAGAGATGGGATCGAGCACCTCACAAGCTGGCTCGGAACCTTCAGTCCTTGGATTCGAACCGTTTCCAAGCGAGCACCTCCAGTTTGATGGTATTTCACCTCTTGCGCTGGCAACGCTCGGTTCGCGGACCATAACGAGTGACCGAACTCGTCGCTTTCTTTTCCTTTTGAACTCTCGTCGGTATGATATCACTGGATAGAAACGATTAAGAAATAATAAACCTATCATTTGTTTTACCTGGATTACATTTAAATATACTTAAAACTGAGAAAATGTTGCAATTTTGGAACGTCATTCCAGCGCAAGAGTTTAAACTCGATCCAACTTGTTTGGAATCAAACTGTTCTTCTACTGTCGTTCAAACATCGTCCAAAGCAATTGACAATGTGTATTTTAGTTCGGGGTATCCCAGAATGTTGTAGATGAATGAATTTTTAACGTGACAGAAGCACGTTCTTGTATATCTAAATACACACGTGCACGAATTTCTAAGATTCGACTATTAATTGTAAAAGTAATAAACATGAAACTATTGAGTAGAAACGTATTCACACCGATACGATATTTAACACTAGAACTACGGATTACTAAAGTATAATATTCGTAGCAAAGAAATTGAAGTGCAAGATACAAAAAAAAGTTAATAATACAATAAAGAACGCAAGCGTCTACTTATCCAAAAATCACTCGAGTATCTAAAAATATATAAAACTATATATTTTATTGAATATATGTAATATATATATTATATAATAAATATATAATCATAAATTATATATTATATAATAAATATATAATTATAAATTATATATTTTATAATAAATATATAATCATAAATTATATATTTTATAATAAATATATAATTATTATAAATATATAATTATAAATAAATAATATATAATTTATTAAAAATCACTCGAGTATCTAAAACTACATAAAATTTCCATAGAAAATTACAACTGGTAGTTCTAGACAAACTAGTGTCAAATCTGAAATACTGCCAACGGTTTGAAGTCGTTTCGAATAGTTTTCAATGGTTTGAAGACACAGGCATGTACATATCGAACTTGATCCCATCCCTAGTTGCGATCGACGAGCCTGCTCTCTGTCTCTTTCTCTCTTTCTCTCACGTGCAGACACAAACACAGTCTTTAACGTGTAATTGGCGACCTTCCTCTTCCTCCCTGATTTTCATTGTTCCATCTCGCTCTAATGAGATTCGCGTTGGTGGTTCATGATGTGTTAGACCTTCCTCCCTCGCAGGCACGGCTCCGTCGAACCGTTCTCTCTTTCACAACGGCGCGAGTCGCGGTCTCGAGTGTTTATGCAAACGTCAACCAACCTGAGGCAACCCTGAAGCAGGAACGGGTTATTAACTCAGCCGTCGACGACGCGTGGTTTCCCTGTTGACGAAGTAGTCGAGCGCGGTTTCCCGACCGAGGAAAAATTCGATTTCCCGTTTTGCTTCACGCTTCCTCGATTAATCGATCCTCGATGAGTTTATACTGCACGTATCGTCAGTGCAAATTGTATTTTCATTTAATCTTCAAGCTAGGATTCATAGTTTCAAAACATTGTTCGTCCAGATTAAATAATAAAATTATCGCTCGTCTTGATAACGCCACTGGCTTTCAAAACTATCGATTCTGGCCATTTTTGAAAGAATCGCGACTTTGGACTCGTCGGTCGATCGTTCGCAGTTTTAATTATTATACTTACATTTATTTATTAATTAATATACACTGAATGTGAAAAACTGTCCTCCTGTTAGGACTTTGAAAATGTGTATTAAAGTAGAAATCGTACCTCGTGTCGACAACCTTAGAGGTTGTGGTGTGTATATAACAGAATGTAGACTGTCACGCAGGTTGTCGTCTCTTTGTGGATTCTTGATGGAGTGTTTTCAAGTTTCGGGGATAGTTGGCAGGAATCTGAAAAGTTTTGAAAATCGTCAGTGTATAAAGTTTGTTAGGAAATGGTATAGTTCGAGAGAAGTTTCAGATCGATGATGGGAACATAAGGTAAAAAAAAAAAAAGAAGAAAAAAAAAGAAAAGAAAAAAAAGAAAAGAAAAGAAAAAAAGAATGGTATAGTGAAGAAGGTTGAAAGTTCGGGAAGTTAAATTGCTTTAAGTTTCGCTCGTTTTATTCAAAGGCCAATCTCACTCTCCGAGACACCCCCGCGTTTCATCGGAATTTTATGTAAAGATAACGAAGGGTTTCGCGAGCTTTCCTCCTATAATTCGATAGGTACTAATAATCGAAGTTTCCGATCTTATAAATTTTATTCGAATATTACCAATTCCTTAATTTGTTCAACGCGATGATAAAATGGATGATCCATTCTCCATTTTCGATCGAAAGAATTTTTATAATACCCGAAACACGATTAGTAGTTTCACCATAAAAATCGATCCACTGTTAGTATACGTCTTCGTTATTTCGTTTTCATTTTTAACATTGTTACAACATTATAATTTTATTTTAATATTAATAAAAAATAACTTATATTTATTTTTATCGATTAATAATATATATGTGCAGAAACATTTTATTGGTACATAAAAATGTAAGAAATCTTGTTGACTGGTTAAATCGAGGGAAAGAATTTATAATTTATTCATTTCTTATTCCCACGTACTGTTTACAAGATAAAGAACTTTTATCTTTGAACTAACAGATATAAAACGATCCAATAATCATTACTAGATTATCGGTGTTTGTGAAAAAAATATCCAAAACGGAACTCTTATTACGAGACTAAACTAATAAACGATCCTTTCTCTTCCAGTTTCCGTCCGTGAAAATATAAAATTGCACAAACACGCGACACTTTCATTACAAATTCTGCGCATCATCGTAAATCGAAATCCATCTCCTAAGCACATCTCCAAAGTCGTTCGGCGACGTACGAACGATTTACGGTCACTAGTATATTTACACGACAATCAAAATTCTCGGCAAACAAGCTAATTACGTCGAAGCTTGCATATAGACAAAGGTTCAACAGGAGTTCGTCCAAAGACAGAGCGAACAGTCTCGATGGTATATATCTGGGACGATGAAGCAGCGTGGCAAACAGCGTGCCGGTATAGCGTAATCCTTGCCTCCTCCCCTCCCTCCCTGCCGCCCATTCAGCCAAGCTATTCAGTCTCATCAATTTAACCCGGCAAGTTGTGTGTTCACGCTCGAAATCCCTCTAACGTATCAGCCGGACCAAAAAGAAGACGACAGGTGACGGTCGTTCGAGTTATAACGGGCCCGGTTAAAAGCGAACTGACCTCACGCAACCTTGAAGCGAGAGAACAAGCTATTAAACGGCGGTGTATGCCATTCATTCTTGCCCTGGTCCCTCTCTCGATCGTTCGTCTCTGTCTCTGCCGTTCTCACCGTCTCGTTTCCACCTTTGCCCTGTTACGATCCCAGAGCACATGCACATGCACACAGAGAGAGAAAGAGAGAGAGAGAGAGAGAGAGTGCGGAAAACAGAGCGCGCCGTGGCTGATGGCCTAATAGTACATACATAGTTCGAATCCATTCACGAGCCAATGAACGAGCCAGGAGACGGTTACCGGGAATGGCACCTTTTGTGCAAACCGACTCTTGGCCCGTGTTTCTCTGTCGTCGTGATAGGAACACGTGTACCAAGTGATATATTTCTAGGACAATGATAGGCGAACCTATGACCCGCGGGTCAGACACTGACCTGATGCAGGCTTTTTAAATGACCCACGCGTTGATTTTTATAAACTTATCATCATATATATAAAAGAATTTTAATTATTTTTCGAACCCCTCTTTTTAAAAAATGTTAAGAAAATTACAAGTGCTCGGTTAGAGCTTGAAAGTGAGAAATAAATGCATAATTGTGTTTTATGGAGGATTTACGACTTGGTTATGTATACATATAGGTATTTTAAGTCTTAAATGTTATATGAGTTAGTTGTGTCCAAAAAATTTTTCACTTTAACGTTTCATATTGTACGTTTCATACCATATCAAGCATGTGGAAAAATATATTTTTTTTTAGATCCTTATATACGTATCAACATGCGAACATCTCGGAGACGTCATTGTTAACTTTAGCTCGACAGTAATGGTACTCTCACGCGACAATAGAAATGTAACCATTTATTCTTATAAAATCGACTGCGGATGAAGTATAAAATAAGAAAAAAAAGCGCTTCGCTGGAAGATAAGGATGCAAAGGGAATACTTTTTGCAGCCACTGTAAGTATACCAGTTATGCAACCAAATGTCATTCCAATTTCACAGCTCGTCAGCTGTGTCGACTACAATCGAGAACGAAACGAGACAAGAGTCGCCTACGTGTCGTGACGGTGCGTGACAGAGGAGAAAGATTGAATAAATTAAAGGGAAGGAGAGGGAAGAGGAGGTGAGAATAAAGAGAGAGAGAGGGTGAAGGCCGAGCATCCGCGTGGCGTGGGAGAATCTGTGTAACTCGCCACGTGGTCGACCACCCTGGCCCGTAACGATGTTACGGCTGCTCGATCGTCTATGTAACACCAGCGTAATCACTTTGCACGCCCGTTCGGTCGATATTTTTACCGTCGCCGGTGATTGATTCACGATTGTCACGGTGTCTCGTGAGAATTTGAGAATGGTACAACGAGTAAATTCCGGATCTATAGCAGCTGGCGAGGAACGTTTCTCTATCTGTGCCATAATTGTAAATCGCATCTTCTATAAATTCTCCCAATTTTTCAAAAACTAGCGTGGCCGACACCGGGTCACCGGGTTGACCCAGAACTCGAATCGCAAAAAAGATTCAGATGTTACATATGTATAGGCAATGATATTAAATATGGTACCAAATGTGCCAAATGTTTACGATTTATATGCAAAGAGCATGCAATAACGTTGTATGTATGCAGTGCATATAAATAAAAAATATGTTCATAAAATTTTACATTTCTTAAACAAACCCCTCTCCTCCCCACATTAAAAACATTATTATTACATAACATCATGTACCAAAGAGTTAGGTGCACAGGCAAGTATAGTACAAATTCAGCTACGAGTCAAAAGTGACCTTGTGTATCCGAGGATTAATCAAAACCCATCGACCAGATGACCAAATCGTCATCTCAAAGAGTCAAAATCAACCAGTCAGTCAATAGCAACGTATGTAGATCTCGAGAACAAATGGCACAGACTACCAGAGATCGATCTTCGAGTCAGCGAAGAGATCGAGAGACGGGAATTCCTCTGACAATAAAATAAAAAGAAAAAAAGAGAAACCTGTGGAGACAAAGAGAGACGCGACACGAACGCGTGAAACGGAAAAGGGAAAAAGAGAAGAAAAGGGACCAGGAAAGAAGAAAAGGAAGAAAGAGGGTGGGAGGGGTGGTTCGCCTATATACCGCGTGGACGTGTTCCACGTGTCTCCGGTGTGCGACACACACCACCTTTTCCTTCTCTTCGTTCTTTGGGACGGCCGTGGCGCGTGATATAAAGTGGCGGAGAGGAAACGTCGCGGCGCCAGAAGCAGCCAGACTAAAGGGAAACGAGAAGCGGGATGGGGTAGATGGGCGAATGGGCGTCGGGAGGGGGAGGGAGAAGGGGGCAAAGGGGATGCAAAGGGAGGGATCGGGAAACTATTGACCACGGTTGGGAAGCCGTTTAACCCCCCACGAGAGGACGTGCACCACGCTTGCACACATACACATACGTGCACATGGAACGAGTACGAGAGAGAGAGAGAGAGAGAGAGAGAGCTCTTCTACAGAGGCAGCTGCAGACACACAATGCACACGCACACGCACACGTGTAGCAGCAACGAACGACGAGAGAGGCAGGAAGGGAAAGCATAAACGGTTGCACACAAGGAAGTTCATTCATGAGTACGGGAACTTTGGTAGATGTGAGAGGTCTGCACGGACACGACCTAACGCCCGGTCACATCGTATTTGCGAGGAGAGTATGCGCGTACTACGCGCGGGCCCTTCCTCCTCCACTTCTCTCTCTCTCTCTCTCTTTCTCTTTCTTTCTCTTGTTTCCTCTTTTGTACCCTTTAACGTCGTCGCAAGCAGCAGCCAGGATAAAGGATCGGTACGAGGGAGGATCGGAAGAGGAGAGAGAAGGAGCACCCGATGACATTGTTGCAAAGCGATAAGACGGCGAGCGAACACGCTCGGGGCCGCGTGTACCTGCACGCGAGCAAATCGCCGATCGGTATCGGCGATTGAAAGTGAAACTCGCGCGTGCAATTATCGCGCGCGATCTGCTGGCAGAACGGACGAGCATCATCCAGAGTTTTCTGGCTTCCTTGGGATGCATGTGTAATGTTGCGCTAAGTAATTTATCTTGTGATTTCTAAGTCTTCTCTGTACTTGGTCCTTTTAGTTTAAAACAGACTATAACTCATGTGTAGAAGTATGTAAATTCTAAATAAAGAATGCAAAAATCGTCGAAAGAAATTCGCTTCACATCAGTATTTTCAGAGAGCTAGAACTTAGTAATTATCATAATTTAATATACGCGTGTATACTCATATATTAGTTTATTTTTGGAAATTATTTTGCTAGAATTGTTATTTATTATATACACAGAATTACTCGAATCCCTTTTTTTAACACCTGTTCCTGATGAGCTTAAAGTGAATTAAAATGAAAAAGATACAAATCACGAACAGAATTTCTAAGTTTAATGCTCGAAAACAGTTTTCATACGTTAGAATAAATAACGACGATGCAATGGAAATTATAATTGTCGGTGAATCCGTGGGGCCGTGCGGAGTCTACGATAATGTAATTTACATGGTATTACAGTTGGCTGAAGTAAACCATCAGGCGGAGATGAATTAATCGATTTATTTTAATTTGCGCGCTTTGTTCATTGAAATGTTACACGAATCGTTTTTTGCGGTACAATCGAACGGGCATCACGGGAAGTCGGATCAAAAAGACATTT